AAAGGCCTTTAAAAAGATTTAAAAAGCACTCACAAATGCCCCTGCTCTGGGCTTGCCAGATGTGATGAAGCTCTTCTTCCTATATGTACACGAGAAACTGGGGACAGCTGTAGGAGTCTTGACTCAGCTGCTAGGTTCCTGGCACCACCCAGTGGCCTATTTATCAAAGCAACTTAAGCAGTTTCCCAAGGCTGGCCGCCCTGCCTGCACTCCCTGGCAGCCACTGCTGTCTTGGTGGCTGAAGCAGTCAAACTTACTTTGGGACAACAACTCACAGTCCAAGTTCCCCACTCTGTTTTGACTCTTGTGGAACATAAAGGAAATTACTGGCTGACAAACTCCCAAATGGTCAGATATCAAAGCATGTTATGTGAAACCTGTGTATCCAGCCACCCTATTGACAGTTGATTCAGGCCCCCAGAGCATGACTGTTTAGAGGTTATGGATGAGGTGTTCTCCAGCCAGCTGGACTTGACTGATCAGCCTATTGGTCATCAAGACATTGAATATTTCACAGACAGCAACAGCTTTGTCCAGGACAGCACACATTTTGCCAGATATGCAGTAGTGACTCTGATGCTGTCATTGAAGCATGTCCACTGCCAGTTGGGAGTGCTGCACAAAAAGTTGAGCTCATTGCTCTCATGCCAGTTCTCTAGCTCACTGCGGGGGTATGGGTAAACATACATATGGACTCTAAATATGCCTTTACTACCATTCATGTCCATGGAGTATATAAAGAAGGGGAGCTCGCTAACTCAGGAGGAAAAAATGTTAAGTATGGACAAGAAAATCTGGAATTGCTAGAAGCTATATGGGGCCCTAAGCAAGTAGTGGTCATGCACTGCTGAGGGCACCAGAAGTGGGAGACAACAGCTGATCAGGGTAACCAAAAAGCTGATAGGGAAGCCAAGTGAGCAGCCCTCACAGGAGGACAGACCTCAGCCTCACTGACAGCTGCCTTGTTCCCATGCCCTTTATCTGAATGGCACCTATGGAACACACCACAAGAACAGGCTTGGTTTAAGACTGAGGAGGGAAATTTTCTACCAGGTGGATGGTGGAAATTTGCTGACAGCCAAATTGCAATCCCAGAGTAGCTGGCTCCTACATTTGTCAAGCTGTTCCATGAAGGAACTCACTCAGGGTAAACCACCTTGGCCCAGCATTTTTATCTCCCCAAGCTCTCCAGCATAAGTAAGACAGTATGTGAAAGGTGCAGTCTGTGTGCCAAAAACAATCCCTGACAAGAGACAAGAGTCAAGTACAAAGTGTTGGAGGAACTCCTTTTGAAAACCTGACTGTGAACTTTACCGAGATGCCACAGGCCAGAGGACATAAATATTTGCTGGTGTTTGTCTGCACCTTCTCAGATGGGTGGAAGCCTTCCCTACTGAGACTGAGAAAGCCTAGGAAGTGGCCAGATGCCTGTTAAAGCAAATCATCCCTCAGTTCAGAATACCTGTGTCTATTGGATCAGACAATGGGCTGGCCTTTGTGGCTGAGGTGGTACAGTTGGTGGCTAAGGGCTTACAAATAACTTGGAAGTTGCACATGGCGTACCACCCCCAGAGTTCAGGGAAAGTAGAGTGTATGAATAGGACTCTAAAACTGCAATTGGGAAAACTATGCCAGGAGACCCATCTACAATGGGATCAGTTACTCCCCATAACCTTGCTCAGGATTAGGTCTAGCCCCACCAAGCAGACCAGTCTTTCCCCTTTTGAAATTCGTTTTGGGTGCCCACCCCCTTTAGTCAAGGGCCTGTGAGGGGACCTTAAGGAAACAGGTGACCTGACCATGAGATAGCAAATGCAAGCCCTAGGGCTGACTCTCTCAAAAATCAATGACTGGGTAAGAAAGAGACTCCCTGTTGGCCTAACAACTCCCATACACCCTTATAAGCCAGGTGATGCTGTTTGGGTAAAAGAATAAAATGTTCAACCACTAAAGCCCCACTGGAGGGGCCCTTTTGTTGTTGTTTTGTCCACCCCCACTGCAGTTAAGGTAACAGAGATCGTTCCTTGGATCCACCACAGCTGAGTAAAGCCAGCTTCCCTCAAATGGGAGTGCATCCCTGACCCAGCCTCACCATACAAGATCACCCTTCACAGGACCCTGCTTCCCAGGAGACAACAGGAGATCATGGACAACAAGACCTCAGCCTTGCTCTAGTCACCCCGGAAGCTGACTAGTCACAAGGTGGAAGCTTGAGGAGCCAACCATCTCACCTTTGAGAATGAGTCCCATGTTTCCTTCTTGCTAATCTTGGTCAGCTCTCTATCTCATGACCCCCAGGCCATGGATTATTACTCATGTATGCACACTACTGAGTGGGAAGTGTTGTTACCAAAACTCTTGTTTTCCATTCTTATTATTCTTGTGCAGGCACCATTGTTGGGTCATGCACCCACAACCATACCACCTACTCAGTGTGCTCTCATGATGGTCAGTATATCTGTTTTAACCCCATCTATCACCCTTGGGAGCAATGGCTAGAGGTCTGAAGCTTCACCAGCTCCAGGGAGTTTATTAGCTGGACACAGGTTTACAATCCCAAAAGGCCACTATCTATATACTTTGATGTATAGCTAAAAATTCTATTGACCTCAAGGTATTGGAAACACCTGTGGAGGTCTAGCCTGGGAGAAAACTTGCATGTCAGATGATAAGTATATGTGTCAGGAAGACAGCTGCTCATGTAATGATGCTGTGGAAATATAAACCCCTGGATCAAGATGATGTTCTTTGACCCAGAAGTGGGTCTGAGCATCAAAGGGGGGAATGTGGCAGGAAGGCAGAGAGAAGGAAGAAAGATAATGAGAGACAATGAGGGAGATAATGAGAGATAATGAGTGCAACAGTAAAACAAACAAACAAAAAACAGATTTGAGGAGTGTCATGTGGCACCTGGGGCAAGACCAGAGAAGGGCAACCTCACCCCAGAGGTTAAAATGGCCAATGAAATAGTATATGACCATGTATGGGACAAGCTGTACCCCCTATTTCTGTAACCTGCTCTACATGGTAAATAAGGAAAGCCCGTTTTGTTCTCGGGGCTCAGCCTTTGGATGCAAATCCACTGAGTCACTGCCGGCCTACTTAATAAACTTGCTTCCCGAAAGCTTCGGTGCCCATCTCTCTGTCTGAGCCTTCCTGCAACAGTAGGGCATCTGCCTAGCAAGTGTAAGGCCCTGAGCTCAAACTCCAGCATTGCCAAAAAAAAAAAAAAGTCAACAATATGTGCCTCTAAAAATCATGCTTGTTGGAGATTTGGGTACAATGCAATGAACCCAAAATCTGGGAGGCACAAACAAGAGTCTTGATCCCCAGAGGCAGGTTTTGCTCTCTGGCAGAATAAAAAGAGACTGCGATAGGATCTTCTCACTGATCTGGGAAAACGATGTGCTTAAGACAAAGAGTAGCTTCGCATATTGCTGGATTTTAATGGAATAACTCAAAGTTAATGGTAGGGAAAAAAAGCCTAGACTTCATAAAATCAGTGCAGTGACAGGGAGAGGGGGTATTATCCAAACTAAACTCCTTGCAGACAAGGAATCTTTTATCTTCCACAAAGCCTAAATTGAACCCTAAATAGTTACGCAGCAATTTTTTTTTGAGGTACTGGAGTTTGAACTCTGGGCCTCACACTTGGTAGGCAGGTGCTCTATCAGTTGAGTCACTCCACCAACTATGCAGCAAATATTTTTGATTGGCTTATGATCAATTTTTAAATTCATAGTAATATACTAAAGGACTAAACAACCCAATATCTACTTATTTCCTCTAACTCAATCTGCGTATAGACTTAAAAATCTCACAAAAGTCCCATGAGACAGGCATGGTCACATTGCTATCATTTTTTTGCAGTGCTAAACCCAGGACCTTGCACATGCTCAACAAGTGTTCTACCACTGAATTACATCCCCAGCCCTTGTTTTGTTTGTTTGTTTGTTTTTGTTTTTATGAGACAGGGTCTCACTATGTGGCCCAAGATGGCCTCAAACATAATCCTCCTGCCTCTGCCTCCTAAATCTGGGATTATAAGCATATGCTACCATGCCCAGCACAATATACCTCTTGTATACAATATACAGCTAGGGAAAGTAAGACTCAATATAACCTTGGGTGGCCTCTGGATTTTAGCTTGCTCTTTGCAAGTCCAGCCTTGCTTAGTGCTTAGAATGTATAGATGGATCTCCTACTTCTGCTCTTATAATGCCCTTAGCACATGGGAATCTAGAGAATCCAACTAACTGGCTACCAACCAAGAGGGCTGATACCAACCATAATGGTGACTCTTACCAGTGTAAGTTCTTCCCTAAACTCAGCCAGGATCTGGCTCCCTGGAACTTTTGCTCCTCATTCCTCATTCTGCTCTACATCCTGTAGTTACAGAGGTAAATATGGCACTTCTTGGTATGATAGTCCCCTTCTCATACCTTTCATATCGCTAAGAAGATATGTTCTCCAACTGTTCTTCAAATGGCAAGATTGGCAAGACCTTTACCCTGGATGCATTCTGTTGTAGGGAAGGAAGTTCATGCCTCTGGTGTGGTCTCACATTATAAGGCATGTGATCACATTGGTAGCAATGTGTTGGGGAGAGCTGTCATGCACTGATGGGCCTGGGAGTGGCTTTAGGCACCTTTAAGTCTACTTCTGACTTGGGCAGTATTCCTGACAAGTATGGCCTCCATAGGTGATTTGCTTCACCCCACACTGAGAAAAATTATGCCTTCCTCCTTCCTGGGGTATCTCTGTACCTGGTTATAACTCTGGATATTGATATTTGTGACTCTTAGGATTGCTGTCCCCTTGGTTTCCTTCCAAAAACGAGGTTCAAAATCCTGCATTTGCTCTCTTGGAACAGTGAGCATCTGGCTGAACAGACCCTCAAAAGCAGTCTCACTCTCCGGCATTTGCTAGTGAGCTGTGGTGGTAGGGGAGAGTGGATGAGTGGGTTGGGACCCAGGGCACCTTTAGGGTTAACTGGTCACCTGTGTCAGGAGCAATGCACTCGCATTTGTAGGTGGTGATGGAGTCAGGCTTGAAGTCCATGTTGATGGGGTAGTACCTGAAGGCACCAATCATCTTTTTGATGGCATCATAGATGAAGATGAAGCTGATGAGGGTGGAGAAGCCCTCCTCGGTGAAGCGGGTGATATACTTGATGATAAAGCTGGCATCAGTGGCCACCAGGATAAGGCACTGGATGGCTGAGTGTAGGCCAATCCAGAGTCGGAACTCCATGTAATCTAAGCCATTGCCTCTGGAAGGCAGAGAGAAGCAAGTGGCCTCGAGCCCAGGGCTCCTGCCTCTTCTTGGCTTCCCAGACCCACCCACAGGAGTTCATCTTTCCCTGCTGTGGCACAGATACCCTTCTAGGGACCATAAGAGGACTAGGGACAGAGACAATTCCTGTGTAGGTTGCCTGGTCTTTCAGAATCCTAGGAAAGGATCTCATAGGGGCAGCAGGAAGGTGCTATGGTGCATCAGTGTTCATATAGTTGATAACAGATACCCAGAGTGAGTGAAAAATAGGGAATTTCAGATTAACAGAGTTGGAGTGGGACTTAGAAATGGTCAGATCCAAACTCTTATGATATAGATGAGGAAACTGAGTTTGGAGTGATGGGACTTGCCTGGGTCTGGGTACAGTTTTCTGACTTCCATCCCAAGACTTTTCATACACTACACTGACTTTCAAATCGTAATTGCTCACAGGCAGAATGGTATAGATTTCCTCCTCTTATCTTATCTTGCCTGCATTGCTCCCAATAGGCTTTGCTAATATGCACTGAAATGAATTAAAAGGCAGGTAGCTGGCAGGAGTCAAGAGGAATCTCCTGACAGTCCTCCCATACTTAAAGATGGCTTTGGCACCTCCTCACAACTATTCCTATTCCTCTGCACTAGTGCTGCCTAACTGCCCAAATGTAAGGGCAGGCCTGGGGAGTCACCTACTTGCTAAAGTCGAAGAGGAGCTTCTCGAAGATAAGGATGGGTCCTGTGCTGCTAAGGATGATGAGAGGTTGTCCCGAGAAGAGGCAGAACAAGGAGCCAGCCATGGCAGTGCCCAGGAAGCTCTCCATCACTCCCTGAGGGCACAAAAAAGTGTGAGGCTCTGTGGAGGCAGAGGGGGCTTCTCTACACAGGTTGCAAACTAGCTACCTCTCCATGGGCACAGACTGGTATTCATCCTTCATTCTGGGCCTTTTCCCCAAATTCTATCCCCCAACTTTCTTTCCATGATGGCCACTATCACTCTCTCTAATCCCATTTGGATAAAGGTCCCTTGTGACTTCCTTTTGGCCTAGAAAACAGTGGACGGGCTTGGCCCTGTATTCATTCTATTCCTAGAGGATGTCCCATTCATCCATACCGTTATTCATTCATTCAAATATTTATTTGGTGCCTTTAGACATCAGCCCATTCATTCATTCATTCATTCAAGATCCATTAGTCACTTGCTATGTACCAGGCATTGTATTAGGTATTGGAGCCTGATCAGTGAACAATATAACACATCTTCAGTCTAGTAGTATATATAGATCAGTAGCCGATTTCCATAGAGCAGAGTTTTTCAATCTCATCACTATTAATGTTTTAGTCTAGATAATTCTCTGTTGTGGGATCTGTCCTGTGAATTATAGGGTGTTTAGCAGCATCTACCCACTAGATGTCAATAATTATTTCCATTCCAGTTACTACAACCAAAACTATCTCTGAATATTGCCAAATGTCCCCTTGGGTCTAAACTGGTCCTGGTTGAGAGCCACTGCCAAGGAGAGCAATGAGGTGGGATGGTTCTACTTACCAGGAGCACCTGGCAGAAAGGGTTATTAGGAAGGTTACCCAGATATAGAAATGTAGAAGCTGAGACCTAAAACATGAGCAAGGACTGACCAGGAGAATAGGATGATGTGGAATAAAATGAATGTCCTGTAAAAAGGGGGCTACATATGCAAAGGCTGGAGTTGAAAGGTGGCATGTCTTTGTTAAAAATGATCAGGATTGATGGAAAACAGACCGAAGAATGTGTGAACAGCACAGGAATGCTGGGAAAGAGAATGCTAGGGGAGAGGCTTGAGAGGCAAGTAGGACCATGCCATGAGAGCCACAAGAAGAATCTGGGATTTAGGAGTTAAGGATGATGACTAGTTTCTTGCATGGACAGTTGGGTAAAGCATGGTGTCACTGACATGCTGGATAAGGCCCAAGGACTCAGATCAGGAGAGAAGATAATGAATGCAATGTCACCTGTAAGGCCCAAGGGCTCAGATCAGGAAAGAAGATAATGGATGCAATGTCACCTGTGTGAGACAGCCATGTAGACATACCTAGGAGATAGCCTGAAGATTGGGAAAGATATAGGCTGGCAAAAGGCATTCATCTCAACTTATCCAGAAAAATGAACCTTTTCCTTGGTGCTCTGATTTTTCTTATGGTTCTACCCAAAGATCTCCATTAGACCCTTGCCTAGGAGATGGGTGCGTGTCTTTGATAAGCTGATATTTTCCCCAAGAAGGCCCATCTTATTGTAATAGGAACAACTTAACCTTTCTCCTATAAATGTCTTATCTTCAAGCTAAGAAATCAAGTTGGTTTAAAAAAAGTGTAGGGAAAAGGTCCTGATTCAATTGACTGTGTTCATTCAAGTATCAGTGGGAAAAGTACCAAATAACAAAGTAAATGGTTCCCTTAAAAGTTTTTTTTTATTTGTTTTTATTTTGGTACTGGGCTAGGCAAGTGCTCTGCCACTTGAGCCACAACTCCAGCCTTGTTTTGTTTGTTTTAAACATAGTCTCCCCAGCCCAGGCTGGCCTGCAACTCCTCCCTATGTAGCCCAGGCTAGCCTCAAATTTGCAATCTTCCTGCCTCAACCTCCTAAGTATCAGGATCCCCTTAAAAGTTTGACCATTTATATCTTTCTTAAATTCGGTATTTTCTTTTTCTTTTTTTTTAAAGGATTACATGAAGAGATGGGTTGAATCTGGATGGGACTATGGTATGAAGTTTCTTACTACCATTAGCTGGCAGCAGATTTTAATTGACATTTGCACTCACGTCCCCAGCTTACACATACCTGATAATTGTCAGTGGCGTCACCCAGAAGCCCACCAAATGTGATAGCGTTGGTAATACAGCCGAGGTAGATGAATAGAATGGCAGAGATGGACTGGATGTGGAAGCCATCACAGAAGTCACTGAGGAACCAGGGAAGCTTCCTCTTGACATCCAGACACAGTCCACCGAAGAACCTGCTTAAGACAGGCCCAAGTTCTGCTTGCTCACTACAAACACCCACAGGGACAGGGCAATTTATAGGGCCCTACAAAGTCTGGGGTGGGGAAGGGAATTTGACTAGGGGTGGAAGGAGACAAAGATCTTTCTAGCAGAACATTTAGGACAAAAGATAAATTCTTGCAAGACTAAAAGTTTATAGTCAGCACCATCCACACTGGGAAAGGTAGACATAGCCTGTTTGGGAGAGGGAAGTTCTGATGGGAATATTCCACAGAAGATGAACATTATGGGGTTCACAGAGGATGGACATTCTGTGGTCCAGATGGTGGTCTTCCTCATGTCCCTGACTGGCCACAGGGTTTCTGTGCTTGGTAAACACAATATGTTCAGAGACAACACAGATCCGTTAAGTGTGGATGATAAATTGATAACTGGTTTCTTTGCTTTCCCAAGTGACTTGGGAATTTTAGATTTGGGGACAATGTCTCTTCCTCATACCCCCAAACCCAGTATTTAGCATAGCAGGGGTTCTCAGCCTCAGTACTATTATATTTTTGATCAGATCATCCTTTGCCACATCTGGTTGCATTACAGGATGTTTAGCAGTATCTCTGGCCTTTATCCACTAGGTGTCAGCAGCAACTTCCCTCCAGTGATGACAAATAAAAATATCTCTAGACTTTTCCAAATCCTTTGCTGGCGGGGGAGAGGGGGCACAGATAAAGGAGGGTCAATGCTGCTTTCAGTTGAGAACCATAGGTATAGAGTCAAGGGAGTATAAGTCATGACTTCATTCTCAAAGTCATGATTTGCCATTGCTTTTGTAGGGCCATGTCCATTTATGAATCTAGTTCAATCTGAGTGACTTCAAGAGCTGGCAAAGACCCTAGGGCAAGAGAATTTTTCTCTTGTTTGTTTAAAAAAAGAAGCTTTTGAATAGATAACATTAAATTTAAAAAGTTGTTGTTATATATTATATTGTGTTCCTAAAAAAGATTATGAAAGCCCAACCCTTAGTACTTGTGAATGTGACTTTATTTAGAAAGTCTTTGTAGATATAGACAAGTTACAGTGAAGTTATTAGGGTGGGCTCCAATCCAATGTGATTGGTGTCCTTATAAAAGAGGACAATGATATGTGAAGACAGGGAGAAGATCATGAGATGGATGTCATAGACAGAAACTGGAGTGATAACAGCTGCAAGCCAACAATTGTCAGAAAGTAGGAGAAAGCAAGGGAGGATCGACCTAGAGTCTCAGAAGGAACATGGCTCTGCCAACATCTTGATTTGTAACCTCTAACCTCAGAACTGTGTGAGAATAACTTTCTATTGTTTTCTCCACCTAGTTTGTGGTAATTTGCTTCTCATCCCGAGGAAACTAATACAGATACAAAAGGGTGTCTAGAGAAAAGTTTGGGTTCCTCCACTCCTGTATGGAGTCCGCTGTTCTCTTCTGAAACAATGCTTCTCAGTATCCAAGAGGGGCTCAGGGGCACAGGAAAGAATAGCGGTCAGACCCGTGGGCCTGGAGAGGCTGCTATACACAGTAGTAAGGAGGAGAGAGGTTTGAAGTACAGCAGGGTCTCTATCAGGCCTAAGGCGGGCACCTTCCTGTCCAGATAAGTTCCTCCCCAATTTCGTGCATAGCTGGCATCTCTGCATCATCTGCACTGCCTGCTCCTCCAGCCCCGCTGCCGCCAGCCCCACTGCTGCCAGGTCCTCCTCCAGCTGAGGGGCCTCCTCCACCTACAGAGCCATTCATCTGGCCTAGCTCAGCCAGGGAGAACACGGACTTCCTGAAAGAGAAGGAAATGGGGAAGAGACAGCCCCTCTAGGATTGCCCCCAGAGCACCACTCGCCTCTCTAACAAAAATTATAAAATATCTTAAAAGACAGGGGGAAATTCAGACAATGATCTACCAATTCCCACACACAGGTCACCCAGATTTTACAGATGTTCACATTTAGCCATGTTTGTTTCTGCACTTTTACAAAAAGAAATAAAGGGATACCAATGAAACTGAAGCCTCTTTTGTCTACCCTCTTTCCCACCCTCCCTCTCCACTCACATACGCACCTCTTGTCAGCAGAGGGCACTTTCTTGGGTGGCTCTATTCGAATATTTGGGTCCCATTCTCCAGGAGGAAGGACAATGACTTCATCTAGAAACTCATCAATTCCTGCAATCAGATCTTCCCGATTACGGGCTTTATAAGCCACATCACTGAAGAGCTGGAGAGAAATGAGGAGGTAAGAAAGAAGTGTCAGCTCCTGATATCCCCTTCTTACCCACTTCCCAGGAGCACAACACCACAGCTAGTTTCAAAGTAATCATTTGCAACCACTGCTCTAGATGCCAACTCATTCTCAGTTTGAGGAATGTGACAGAACAGCAGGGAAAACAGTGCAAAAAGGGAAAGAGCCAGTGCCAAGGGAAGATGGTTGTCTTGAATCTGAAACCCAGGTCTCCATATTCCTTTTGTAGGACTTTGGTTGAGTTAGTGAACCTTTCCAGTTCATTTTTTCCACACAGCAAGCACATTTAGAAAATCTCTGTAGAGCCTGGTCCAAGAAGCGCAGGCATTTCAAATCCATTTATTACTTCCTATCCCTTCATCCTTGGAAAGTCAGGTTGCACACAGTCTCCAGAGCATGCTTTCTGACTTACAGATCTGATTGGGTTTGCCTGTAGTTCCCTAGGCTCTCCATCTCTATGGGGACAGAGTAGGAACTTTATGATCTGCTTATAGGTTCTGTACAGTCTCTGGCTCCCCTCTCTGGTGTCACCTCCTGTCCTGGAAACTCTTCTACTGAGCCTACTAGAATTGGACCACTTCTATCCAGTTTCTTTGAGCCTTGATCCCTGTTCCCTTCAGAATACTTGCCCCCCGATGCTTGTGCTGGTCTACCAACCTTCTGTTCATCCTTAGTGGTTTCTTTGTTCATTTTGTTTTTTTGGTACTCAGAGCCTTGTGCTTGCTGGGGAGGTACTTTACCACGTGAGCCAAGCCCCCTAGCCCTTTTTGCTTTAGTTATTTTTCATGTGGTTGCCTAGGGCCAACCTGGACCACAATCTTCCTATCTATGCCTCCTGTTTAGCTGGGATGACAAATATACCCAGCTTATTTGTTAAGATTGAGTCTCACTAACTTTTTGCCCAGACTGACCTCAAAAATGGGGTCTCACTAACTTTTTGATAGGGATGACCTCAAATCTTGATCCTCTTGATCTCTATCTCCTCAGTAGCTGGGATTACAGGCATGAGCCTCAGTGCCAGACCTTTAGTTTTTCATCTGTGAATCCCTGGGGGGCTATCACACAGTTACTTTCATTATTACAGATCTGTCCCTCCCACTGGATTAGTGCTCCTAAGGGACATTAACTATTCCCTGAATCCCATAATCTTTAGTACCCTATATAGGGCCTGGTACACAGTAGGTACTCAAATGTGTCTGTTAGATAACTCAGTTATCTAAAATTGAAGTTGCTGTGTGTGGTGCATGAGCCATTAATACTCTGGAGCATGTGCTTCTTGTTACCACTTACATCATCCACCATGAGAGTTGCAATGGCACGGCCAATTTCATTGTAGGACTTTGCTCTCCCAGAAGGTCCCAGAAGAATGAACAGAAATCTACAAAAAAGGAGGAGGAGGAAAGTAAGAAGGAAAAATAGAAGCAGATAAAGAGAAGAATTCTCTGGCCCTCAACTGTATCATTGTTAACTTTTCACCTACTTCCTTAGAATTTTCCATTTGTTGGAAGAACAATTCCTCTTCCAATTCAGTAAGTTCCCCAGCAGCATCCTCACCTTTGTCTTGCTGTCTAAGCACATCTAACAGCTTCTCTCAGTGATATTGCCTCCTTTCCTTTTGAGATTATTTTAAATAAACTCTAAAACTTTTCCCTAGCAAATCTTTACCTTTAGGGGTATCCCTAACAGCACTGTTTGCTGATGATATGGATAGCTGGTCCTCTAAGCATGGGCATGGTGGTAGATTTCAGCCACTCACCTGGTGGGAACAGGCACCTCAGTTACTCCTCCCAGCATGGCAGACTGGATGAGACGCACAAATGCAATGAATGGCTGGTCCAGGAAGTCTACCTCACCCACAAGCACATTGGAAGCTTCTGAGTCCTTGGGGATCTTCTTCATAAATTTGTTTTTCCGCTGCTTAGAAAGAGGGAAATGAGATACCCAAGAATATTCTACATGTTCTTACTCCCCTTCAGACTACACTGGAGGACTCTTTTTTTTGTGGCACTGGGATTTGAACTCAAGACTTTATGCTTACAAAGCAGATGCCCTACCACTTGAGCCACACATCCAATCAATTTTGCTCTGGTTATTTTGAAAATGAGGTCTTACAAACTATTTGCCCAGGTTAGCCTCATACCTCAATCTTCTTGACCCCAGCCTCCCAAGTAGCTAGGATTACAGGTGTGAGCCACTGGTGCCCGGCTGGAGGTCTAATTTAAAAAAAAAAATCTACCAGTGGTTCTCAAGAGACTAAAAGAAATAACCAGATATTCTCCCCAATTTAACAGATGAGGAGACACAATGTTGGTTAACCCCAGAGATCAATTAAGTCTTCATAGGTGGGAAAGATCTGGCAGTGACTTGACCTGAAAGCACTCAACTGATGTGTGGGTTGAGGGGTTACAGAAGAGCCAGGTCTCACCTGCAGTCTCCTTCACCAGAGCAGGCAGGAGGCTTAGTACTTATAGGCCAGCTTCCTAAACTACCTCTCTCTGCCTTTGCCTTTGGTGACAGAGAGAAGGAAGAGGCCTGCTCTGATGCTCAGAGTAGAGACCCTGTTTTTCCTCTGCTTCCTGTGAACCAGGAAGCTAGTGGCAAAGAAGAGTGAGCCAAAAAGAGTCTCCAAGTCTGCAGGAGACTTCCATGCCCCTAAATCACCCCAAGGGTACTATCCTAGGAAACTTACAACTTCCAAGACTTTCCAACTGAGACTATCAAGGTGGCCTATCTCCAGTCCCTCTGACTAGTGTCTGTCCAGGGAAGGAAAGTTAAATAGACAGAGTGACAGGGTCTCATATGACAGGTATTGGACAAATTCTTTGCCCAAATTTATTCCCACTCTGTGTTTATGACCATTTTTCTTGGTTCTTCTTTTTTTTTTTTTTTCAATGCTGGAGTTTGAACTCAGGGCCTACACCTTGAGCCACTCCACCAACCCTTTTTTGCGATTTTTTTTTTGAAATAAGGTCTCTTGAACTATTTGCCCAGGCTAGCTTCAAACTGTGATCCTCCTGATCTTTGCCTCATGGGTAGCTAGGATTACAGGCATGAGCCACTGGCACCTGGCTCTTGGTCTTCATTCATGATGAAAATACCCTAGGGATGGTTACTTACAAATTCTTCTTAGAATGAATAACTTTTCAGATTTCTTTGCCTCTGGACTGTGAGGGGATGGACAAGACATAGATGACTTTGTAGGAGGAAGGAAGGGAAAGCTTGAGGAAGGCACGGATGGTTTTGGTCTATAGTGGCTGTCATAGGGTGGAGGTCAGTTCTTTTTTGTTTGTTTTTTTTGAGACAGGGTCTTGCTATATAGTTCACCCTGACCTTGGACTCACTGTATAGGCTGAGTGAAGATCTGGGTCCCTGTGTCTTTTCCTGTCCCTGTGGAGGGGTCAGTAGTAGGTATGGGCAGGACCACTTTTGTGTCCACAACTGTATCCTGATTCAGCTCTTGAGGGAGGAGGAGTAAACACTAGACTGGGTGACCTACCAGCATGAGGAACAGCATGTGAGCTAGGACCGAACTCTTACAATCTTTTAAATCCAATAGGGGAAAAAAACTAATTCCACCCAAGCAATCAGAAAATACCTCCAAAGAGGTTAATACAGTGAGAATAAGCAAGGACAGTTGACAGGAAGGCCAAGAACCATCAGGCTTAAAAAGTCCCTTTGCCCCAGGCACAGTCAGTTCAGTAATAAGCAGTGTTCTTTAGGATGAAGGTCTGGGTGTGCCAAGGCAGCCACTGTCACCATGACAACTCCATGCCCATGGGCATCAGGCTTGTGGGGTGGTGGTTCAGGAGACAGGAGGAGAGTTGGGGTAGGCAGGAACACCATGGAGAACAAGGTTTTCAAAGCAACAACACTGCACAGTGGCTCAATCAATTCACTTGTAATCCAGGAGAGAGGAGGAATTATAACTGGGCCTTGCTCCTACCTTGTAGGTTGTGACATGTTTGGTCAGAAAGTCTGGGTGGTGACATCCCCAATATGGGGCATGCTGTTATTGTACTCATCCTGGCTTGGCCACAACGTAAACATGGGCTTGTCCAACCAGGACCCCTGACTCCACCTCTTGAACCCCCAAAGACATTGCTCTGCAGGGTAGTTACTGCAGCATGGAGATGCTGTGTGAATCCCCCTGACAGGGGGTGGCATAGAGTTCAGCTTTGCACAAGCAAGCATTGTAGAAAGATGCCTCTGGTTTGCACCTAAAGAGCACTCACTGGCATACAAACCCCTGATGCCACAGATACTGAGAAGCCGCACTGGGTGTCAGTCATGAGAACCAGACACTAGTACCAGGTGCTAGGTTCTAGTCCCTAAATTGAGGAAGCACTGCCTGGTAAAAATGATGGCTGGTATTATTACATTGTACATTTACTAAAATAGGTTATGAAAGCTTTTTACACTAGATTTTGCTTCTGTACTGTGGCTCCACTGTTCAAAAGCATGACTGTAATAATGTGTGTTCCTCTCCAAATATGTCAGAGCACTTACTGGTTCCTAAAGTACTCTCAAATGAATGCTCTGGAGTCAGACTGCCCGGGTCAAGTCATGGTTCTGCCACCATTCAGTAGTATGGACTTGGGCATGTTATTTACCTGCTTGTAGCCTCAATGTTCTCTCATCAGGATATGGCATGGGACCAGCACCTAGAACTCAGTCAGTACCAAGGGCATTCCTGGGGACTGTCACTCCTGTCTGCCTACAGAGGCTCTTTGTCTCTGAAACCAAAGGCTTCTTTCCTGCCTTAGCTCTCCATTGCAACCAGGTACAGGGCTCTCCTACCTGGTCTGTGTTTAGGGTGCGGGAGATGTCATTCATGCTTCTGCTCTGCAAGTGACCTAGAAGAGAAGGAAAAGAAGGTCCTTGAGGGGAAGCCAGGTTTTGTAGGTCCTTTCACTTTGATCCCTAATTCATGCTTCTCCCATGTTCATAGCTAAAGCAAGACTCCTTCCCCCTTAAGCTAACATCCTTTTGTTCTTCTCTTCAATGGTACTTTCTTTTTTTATTTTTATTTTTATTTTTTTATTATTCATATGTGCATACAATGATTGGGTCATTTCTCCCCCCTGCCCCCACCCTTTCCCTTACCACCCACTCCACCCCTCCCTCTGCACCCCACCCCTTCAATACCAGGCAGACACTATTTTGCCCTTATCTCTAATTTTGTTGAAGAGAGAGTATAAGCAATAATAGGAAGGAACACAGGTTTTGCTAGTTGAGATAAGGATAGCTATACAGGGAGTTGACTCACATTAATTTCCTGTGCATGTGTGTTACCTTCTAGGTTAATTCTTTTTGATCTAACCTTTTCTCTAGTTCCTAGTCCCCTTTCCTATTGGCCTCAGTTGCTTTTAAGGTATCTGCTTTAGTTTCTCTGCATTAAGGGCAACAAATGCTAGCTAATTTTTTAGGTGTCTTACCTATCCTCACCTCCCTTGTGTGCTCTCGCTTTTATCATGTGATCAAAGTCCAATCCCCTTGTTGTGTTTGCCCTTGATCTAATGTCTGCATATGAGGGAGAACATACGATTTTTGGTCTTTTGGGCCAGGCTAACCTCACTCAGAATGATGTTCTCCAATTCCATCCATTTACCAGCGAATGATAACATTTTGTTCTTCTTCATGGCTGCATAAAATTCCTTTGTGTATAGATACCACATTTTCTTGATCCATTCGTGAGTAGTGGGGCATCTTGGCTGTTTCCATAACTTGGCTATTGTGAATAGTGCCGCAATAAACATGGGTGTGTGGGTGCCTCTGGAGTAACCTGTGTATATCCCCAAGAGTGGTATTGCTGGATCAAATGGTAGATCAATGTTTAGCTTTTTAAGTAGCCTCCAAATTTTTTTCCAGAGTGGTTGTACTAGTTTACATTCCCACCAACAGTGTAAGAGGGTTCCTTTTTCCCTCGCATCCTCACCAACACCTGTTGTTGGTGGTGTTGCTAATGATGGCTATTCTAAACAGGGGTGAGGTGGAATCTTAGTCTGGTTTTAATTTGCATTTCCTTTATTGCTAGAGATAGTGAGCATTTTTTCATGTGTTTTTTGGCCATTTGAATTTCTTCTTTTGAGAAAGTTCTGTTTAGTTCACTTGCCGATTTCTTTATTGGTTCATTAGTTTTGAGAGAATTTAGGTTTTTTTTTTTTTTTTTTTTCATTTTTCTTTTATTATTCATATGTGCATACAAGGCTTGGTTCATTTCTCCCCCCTGCCCCCACCCCCTCCCTTACCACCCACTCCCCCCTCCCTCTCCCCCCTCAATACCCAGCAGAAACTATTTTGCCCTTATCTCTAATTTTGTTGTAGAGAGAGTATAAGCAATAATAGGAAGGAACAAGGGGTTTTGCTGGTTGAGATAAGGATAGCTATACAGGGCATTGACTCACATTGATTTCCTGTGCGTGGGTGTTACCTTCTAGGTTAATTCTTTTTGATCTAACCTTTTCTCTAGTTCCTGGTCCCCTTTTCCTATTGGCCTCAGTTGCTTTAAGGTATCTGCTTTAGTTTCTCTGCATTAAGGGCAACAAATGCTAGCTAGTTTTTTAGGTGTCTTACCTATCCTCACCCCTCCCTTGTGTGCTCTCGCTTTTATCATGTGCTCAAGTCCAATCCCCTTGTTGTGTTTGCCCTTGATCTAATGTCCACATATGAGGGAGAACATACGATTTTTGGTCTTTTGGGCCAGGCTAACCTCACTCAGAATGATGTTCTCCAATTCCATCCATTTACCAGCGAATGATAACATTTCGTTCTTCTTCATGGCTGCATAAAATTCCATTGTGTATAGATACCACATTTTCTTAATCCATTCGTCAGTGTGGGGCATCTTGGCTGTTTCCATAACTTGGCTATTGTGAATAGTGCCGCAATAAACATGGGTGTGCAGGTGCCTCTGGAGTAACCTGTGTCACAGTCTTTTGGGTATATCCCCAAGAGTGGTATTGCTGGATCAAATGGTAGATCAATGTTAGCTTTTTAAGTAGCCTCCAAATTTTTTTCCAGAGTGGTTGTACTAGTTTACATTCCCACCAACAGTGTAAGAGGGTTCCTTTTTCCCCGCATCCTCGCCAACACCTGTTGTTGGTGGTGTTGCTATGATGGCTATTCTAACAGGGGTGAGGTGGAATCTTAGTGTGGTTTTAATTTGCATTTCCTTTATTGCTAGAGATGGTGAGCATTTTTTCATGTGTTTTTGGCCATTTGAATTTCTTCTTTTGAGAAAGTTCTGTTTAGTTCACTTGCCCATTTCTTTATTGGGAGAATTTAGTTTTTTAAGTTCCCTATATATTCTGGTTATCAGTCCTTTGTCTGATGTGTAGCTGGCAAATATTTTCTCCCACTCTGTGGGTGTTCTCTTCAGTTTAGAGACCATTTCTTTTGATGAACAGAAGCTTTTTAGTTTTATGAGTCCCATTTATATCTATCTATCTCTCTAGTTGCTGTGCTGCTGGGGTTCCACTGAGAAAGTTCTTACCTATACCTACTAACTCCAGAGTATTTCCTACTCTTTCCTGTATCAACTTTAGAGTTTGGGGTCTGATATTAAGATCCTTGATCCATTTTGAGTTAATATTAGTATAGGGTGATATACATGGATCTAGTTTCAGTTTTTTGCAGACTGCTAACCAGTTTTCCCAGCAGTTTTTGTTGAAGAGGCTGCTTTTTCTCCATCGTATATTTTTAGCACCTTTGTCAAAGACAAGTTGGTTATAGTTGTGTGGCTTCATATCTGGGTCCTCTATTCTGTTCCACTGGTCTTCATGTCTGTTTTTGTGCCAGTACCATGCTGTTTTTATTGTTATTGCTCTGTAATATAGTTTGAAGTCAGGTATCGTGATACCTCCTGCATTGTTCTTTTGACTGAGTATTGCCTTGGCTATTCGTGGCCTCTTGTGTTAACAGTAGATTTTTCAACCTCTTTAATGAATGTCATTGGAATTTTGATGGGAATTGCATTAAACATGTAGATTACTTTTGGGAGTATCGACATTTTTACTATGTTGATTCTACCAATCCATGAGCATGGGAGATCTCTCCACTTTCTATAGTCTTCCTCAATCTCTTTCTTCAGAAGTTTATAGTTTTCCTTGTAGAGGTCGTTCACATCTTTTGTTAGGTTTACACCTAGGTATTTGATTTTTTTGAGGCTATTGTAAATGGAATTGTTTTCATATATTCTTTTTCAGTTTGTTCATTATTAGGTATAGAAATGCTAATGATTTTTCTATTGATTTTATATCCTGCTACCTTGCTGTAGCTATTGATGATGTCTACAAGCTTCTGAGTAGAGTTTTTTGGGTCTTTAAGGTATAGGACCATGTCATCTGCAAATAGGGATATTTTGACAGTTTCTTTACGTATTTGTATTACTTTTATTCCTTCTTCTTGCCTAATTGCTCTGGCTAGGAATTCTAGTACTATGTTGAAATAGGAGTGGAGATAGTGGGCAACCTTGTCTAGTTCCTGATTTTAGAGGGAATGGTTTCAGCTTTTCTCCGTTCAGTATAATGCTGGCTGTAGGTTTGTTATATATAGCTTTTATAATGTTGAGGTAGTTTCCTTCTATTCCTAGTTTGCTTAGAGCTTTTATCATGAAATGGTGTTGGATCTTATCAAAGGCTTTTTCTGCATCTATTGAGATGATCAAGTGGTTTTTGTCTTTGCTTCTGTTAATGTGGCTTATTACGTGTATTGATTTTCTTATGTTGAACCACTCCTGCATCCCTTGGATGAAGCTTACTTGGTCGTGGTTAATAATCTTTTTGATGTGCTGTTGAATTCGGCTTGCCATTATTTTGTTGAGGATTTTTGCATCAATGTTCATTAAGGAGATTGGCCTATAGTTCTTCTTTTTGGAGTTGTCTTTGCCTGGTTTTGGGATAAGTGTAATACTGGCTTCATAAAATGTGTTAGGCAATTTTCCTTCCCTTTCTATTTCATGGAATTTTAAGGAGGGTTGGTATCAGTTCTTCTTTAAAGGTCTGATAGAATTCAGCAGAGAATCCATCAGGTCCTGAACTTTTCTTTTTGGGGAGACTCTTGATTGCTGCTTCAATTTCATTTTGTGTTATAGATCTATTTGGGTGATTAATATCCTCTTGGTTCAGTTTTGGATGATCATATGTATCTAGAAATCTGTCCATTTCTTTAAGATTTTCAAATTTATTTGAATATAGGTTCTTGAAGTAGTCTGATGATTTCTTGGACTTCCATGGTATTTGTTTTCATCTCCCCTTTTGCATTCCTGATTCTACTAATTTGGGTTTTTTCTCTCTTCATTTTAGTCAGGTTTACCAGGGGTCTGTCGATCTTGTTTATTTTTTCAAAGAACCAACTTTTTGTTTCATTAATTCTTTGTATGGTTTTTTTGGTTTCTATTTTGTTGCTTTCAGCTCTTATTTTTATTATTTCTCTCCTTCTATATGTTTTTGGATTTGCTTGTTCTTATTTTTCTAGGAGTATGAGATGTATCATTAGGTCATTGATTTGGGATCTTTCAGTCTTTTTAATATATGCACTCATGGCTATAAACTTTCCTCTCAGGACTGCCTTTGCTGTGTCCCATAGGTTCCGGTAGGTTGTGTTTTCAGTTTCATTGACTTCCAGGAACTTTTTAATTTCCTCTTTTATTTCATCAATGATCCATTGTTCATTAAGTAATGAGTTATTCAGTTTCCAGCTGTTTGCATGTTTTTTGTCTTTACTTTTGTTGTTGAGTTCTAGTTTTATTGCATTGTGATCAGATTCAATGGTACTTTCTTGAATAAGTCATTAAATTTCAGGTTCCACATCTTCTTTTTTGCTTCTCAATCAATTGCTCTTTGGTCTCTACCCACTGGCCCCACCTTCTTGACTTCACCAAGATGTCTATTTCAGGTGCTGGCTCTGTACCAGGCCTAGGAAGGACACAGATGCATTTTCAGATGAAGTGCCAGGTGTCACTAAGCTTGGAATTTATTGCTGACAGAGACCAGTTTCATCTCTGACCTCTAAGACCCAAGACAGGGTGGGATATAGGGCGGTAGAGTGAAGGAAAGTGGTCTCCCTGTGGGAGAACAGTGACAGTGTATTAATTAATCTGCCAATAGCTCTTTCCTCTGGAAATCAGCTCTCATTTCCCATTACCAGCCATTCTAGTGAACACTCTCAGACCCATGATTTCTTGGCTTTTGGGCAATAGTCACTCTTTGCTTCTAGAACACTGCTCTCATTGGCTTTCTTCCTCTTGTTTTCATCTTAGAATCCTCTCCTGCTTGCCTCTTCTTGAGGTCCTGTCTTTTCCTTCCTCCCTCTTTGGTCAATCATATCCATTCCCACTACTTATATAGCACGTTTGGTCTGATGACACCCAGGATGGATATCTAGTCTCTTTTCTGAGCTCCAGGCACATTGGAACAGCTTCATCTTGTACCTCAAACTCATTGTGTTCTTCCAAATCATTCCCCCACAGATCCTACTCCACTCAAAGCTCTCTTCCTCCCACCCACCACCCATTCAGAGAGCAATCTGGGAGTCAGCCTGGCTCCTCCCTCTTCATCACCCCTTACTTCCCACTAGTCATTACATTCTGCCTCAGTTCTTCCTCTCCTTTTCTGAACATGGGCCCTTTATCTTGCTTCCAGTCTTGCTCTCTTTTAGCTTTTTTTTTTTTTCTCAGATAAACATCTGATCATGACATATTCCTGCTTCGGCTTCTCAGGGGTCCCCATTACTTTCAGAATATCATCTGGGTTCTTTGACTTGGCGTGCAAGGCCCTCTTCCATTGATCCTCTCTTCTTCTTAACCTCAATACACCTAGTGAACTGAATCAATCTTCTTTCCCTTGATAGCTCCTTCCCTTTGCCTCTTGTCTGTGTCATTTGTTGAGAACACTCTCTTCCTTTCTGGGAAACATGTCCCAAGGAAGGGAAATGTTTTATTTATTTATTTAATAAATTTATTCTTCAAGAGTCAGTTTTGTCTCTCCTGGCTGGGCCTTCCTCATTGCAGTCTGTTCACTGGGTCACCTCTGGGAGGACTGCAAACCTGAACTGTAAAACTGTAGCTCACACAAAGTGTAAGAGTAATCTCTTACTCATGCCTCTTGTCTGAGCCCCCCCAACTAGCAGTAAGTTTCAGACAAGAGGCACCTCACACATAGTGGTAACTGAGTAGGTCTTCCCAAAGCCTCTTTCTGCCTACTGACTACTGCTCCTTAGCAGCCTTACATAGAATAACAAGGTCAGGGGCATCTAAGAGGACTTGGGTCTTAGGACAGAGAGAAAAGACTGGAGCAGATACCTCCTCTAGCAGAGGCCTGCTGTTGCACCCAGCTCATTCCTCCAGTCTGGTCAAGGTCCTGGGCTGTACTTATTCCTATTTTAGTAAAAGTAATAAAAGGAAAATACTCCTTCCTTTTTCTGTTCATTTTCTAAGATCTTTCTTTTCTTTCCTCAACTTGCCTGATTGTTTGCCCTGATGAATTATACCAAAAGGCCTGTCTGAGACCTTTTACCTCATGGCCCTCCCCCACTACTAATTAATTCCTAGCAAACAGGGGCCTATGACTCTGTCCACATCTTTTCTTCATGGTGATATGACACTGTCACCAGTAACAAGAATGCTATCTGACTTCCCCAAGGGGAAAAGGACTAGGCCTGTTTTTAATTCCATTTCTAGAAAAGCTTCACGCCAGAAACTGGGCAAGTGATTTAGTGAAGACAAAGTTGTGCACTAAGATCAATATGCCTAGAACATAGGGTTGGAGTTGACTATGCCTGAAATTGATTTAGGGCTGCATTTTTCAGAGGAATTATTTGGAACATTATGGTAGTAAGTCAGCCCTGAGAGAAGCCTAGGTTTTGAGTAAAGTTAGATTTCTCCTGGTGATGTCCTGAGAATTCTAGATAGATCATGGGCTCTATAAAAGGTGAATTTTCTACAGCTGTCACAGGCAGGTCAAAGCTGTCACTGAAGGGCAGAGAACACACTCACACAGATGTCCGTAATTTGTGCTTTGCTGCATCCTCAGATCCTCGGTGGAGCGATGTAGACTTGGGCCAGCCACAGGGCTCCGGGCAGGACTGCGATCTGGGAGGAGGAACAGAATGAACTTGGCTCCACAGATTGGCTTCTGGTGCAATGCAGCCTCTCGGGCTAGCTCTGTACCCACATACAGTTGCTTCAACTAAACAAAGCCAGGCTGCAAGAAGTGTCTCCTTCCCAGGAAGAACTTTTTGTTTGTTTATTTGTTTGTTTGTTTTGGAAGAAAGTTAATAGTCTGAATAAGATTACAGAGAAAATATTTGTACTGTTGAAAGCAGATAGATACACAATTGACCAAACTGAGATAGATACACAATGGGATTAAATTGGTGTCAGGTATAGTGGACTGCCTGGACCCAATGCTGATTCCAGCACTTACTGGCTGTGTGAACTCTCTGTGCCTCAGGCATCTCATGTGGGAATGAGGAGAACAGTGTCTACACAACAGGTTATTAAAAGGATGAAATGAATTCACATAGGACGAGCACTCCTAACAATGCCTAGAGCATGGTACGTGCTATGTGTATATCTGCTGTTCTGAACGCTAAACCCTTTCCTGTTTTTACACAATCCATTTAAAGAGATTCCTTAAGCGTTCTTCATTTAATAATATTATCATCTTTGTTCTGGTTCCTGTGTTTATCTGTCAGGTTCATCAGGGCCAATGTCTCCAGGCATCTTAACTCAGATACTAAGGATGGAGGGCTAGAGGTGAGCAATCCATTCTCCTTTAATGGCCTCAGGCTCTGCTGATCAGAATGACACTAGCTACCAGGTTTATAGGCCCTGGCAACTTTGAGGTAAAGCCAGCTACTTCACCTGTTCCATTTCTGCTGAGGCTCTTGGCTCCTCTTGAGGGTTAAATGGGAAGCTCAGGCCTTTTCTTAAACAAGCCATCCTTACAGGTGTTCCTAATACCAGGGAATTTTCTAACCTGCCTCTTTTTCCCAGGCTACACTCTGGACTAATTAAATCTATCCTGTCCAAGATGGAGCCAGGCATAAGACACATTTCAAGCCCCCAAGTGATTGTAATGTGCAGTCCAGGTTAAGCATCAAATCTTCCTAGGGACTGTTCTACTCTGATGGTGGGATCATTGGGGCATGACTGGAGTCCCCGGAGGCCTACCAGAGAATGAGGCTGAGGAATCCCCAGAACCTCTGAGTTTCTCCAGGATCATGAAGTCAGACACTCCCAGTCACCAAAGTAGGCTTACCTGGGCATGAGGGACTGACTCTAGCACCTCAGGCCCAATGCCCACCAGCAGATAGCCCAACTCACTTGTGGTGGAGGAGACTGACTTTCCAATGTCTACTAAGGAGCGATGGATGGGCTTCTTGGTTTGATGACGATGCTTCCTCAGGAGGACATAGCTGACTTGTTCGCGGAGCTCTGGCCGCAGAAGCCCATCCTCAATCTGCTTCTCAATGACATCATCTGAGTGGAAAACAAGCACACTTGGTCCATGGGGGGCAGAAGGAACCCAAGGTGTGGGGTCTTTAGTTTCACCTATTTTTAGTGGTATGGAAAGTGAGCTAAAGGTGACAGGGAATGTGGAAATAGTCCTTAGCTTTGCTGTTAACTATGGAAACCTGGGCACATCACAAGTCTCTTCATGTACAAGGGTGCATGCATGTCTCAACAGATATGCATGTGTGTATAGAAGTCTCTGCTCTTTCTATCAATGTTGTGAAAAGTAAATGTAATAATACATTTGAAAGTGTCCCCAGAAGCATAAAAGAACTGTGTTAAAAGGTTTTAATACTAAAATTAAATATACTTAAAAGTATTTTGAGCAAAATATATCTGAAAAAAATCAAATGCCCTAGGACAAAATTGATAGAAATTTTTAGATAATAAGACAAGCTACTTCCTCTTTCTGACTTTCTGACACTCCACTAAATGGGAGTGAGTTTCCTAAAGATGAATGATCATCCATTTTCCCCTGAAAAGAAATAGGTTGCCATGGCAACAAGAATCTTTGACCATGCTAGGAGTTTTTGCTGCAGTGCAGGACAGCATTTCAGAGGATGATCCTTTTCTTGCTATTAGAGCTCTACATGGTACTGAAACTTGGAGTGGCTAAGACACCACCTGCCAAGCACCAGAGACAAAGCTGGTCTCTGCAGAATCAGGCAGGCATCAGGAATGGGCCAGTCACATGGACTTGCAGGTGGGAACCAGCTGGGGAGAGCTACCCTGGTTTACCGGGACCACAGGAGAGGTGCCTGCAGTGACCCCTGTCTCACCTATGATCTGTGGTAAGGATCCACTATCCAGATCCAGCAGCACTGTCCCCGTCTGCAGGCAGGTACGGAGCTCAAAGAGGCTATGCAGGGACAGCGTGGACACGTGGGGCTTGCTCCAGCGTTCGCCTCCTTCCTCTACCTTTTCTTCAAATTTTATCCACCTGGGAGGGGTAAGGATAGGGCTCAGTATGGCACGTGCCATCAAGAGTAGGCCCTACCAGTCCCTTCAGCAAATGTAGGTTTGAGGGCACATGTTGTTGGAGGCTCACATACAGAGGCTCTCCTGGGGATGTCTTTACTCTGTTCCCACAACACCTAATACTGTCATGCTAAAGACAAGGTGGCCTCCAAGGAATGGAGGGATCTTTCTGGGGTGATAGAAGTGTTTTAAAATAGCAACGTGGTGATAGTCGCATAACTCTGTACATTTACTACAAATCACTTAACTGTACACCTACAATGAAACATTTGTTTTTTAAAGTCTCAACTGGAACATGGTTACCTAGGCTGGTCACCCTTGAGTGTTAAGCTGATTTGCTGGGAGCAGGGAATGTTCCATGACAAAAAGTATTTCCCCCAGTTCTGCTACCAAGGTCTGAGATTTCCATGTTTTTCACTATTGATTTTGACTCTGAAAGTTCAGGTTAAAGTCTAAATGTCATTTGGAGAAGGAAAGAACTTAAACCAGGAATGTATAGGAATTTGTCACTATCATATAGGATTTGCCATATAGGAAAACTGGGAATCACAGCCTGGGTGGAGGTGATGAGTGGGAAGGCCATAGAGAGCAGGCAGAGGCAGCAGCTGACCATGCCTCCCTATCAGAGGCAGGTCCATTCAGCCTGGAGAGTTCCCAGGGGAGCAAGGCATCCTGGCTGCAGATTTCTAGCCCACTTTTGTAAGATGTCAACCTCAAATTAGTGGGTAGCTTCCATCTGTCCCAGTCGAAATCTTAAGGGAGTATTTCGTGACCATGACTATCTAAAGGACCATGACTTAGATATAAAGGTTCAGATGGTTGAGGAAAGTTTTAAAAAGAAAAGCTGAATAGGACACAATTTAGTAGATATAAAACCTTGTTGTTGAAAAGCCTGACTAATGTGATTCCAGGTTAGATATAAACAACGAAACCAATGGAACAGCCCAGAAGCAGATCTGGACATCCGTGAGAACTTGAGTTTTGATGGAGTTATTTAAAAGGCAACCAGTCAAAAAGTAAAGAAAGTTTTAAATCCTTACTTTTTCATCAAACACAATACTAAGTTCTTCATGGATTAAAGTCTAAACATAAAAAATAAATCTAAAGGGGATGGAGGTATCACTGCCTGACAACTGTGAAGCCTGAGTTCAAACCCCAATACCACCAAAAAAATCTATAAACAAAAATGTAAATGTATTAGAAATGAATATATGAGAGTATCACATTCCTGGAGAATATTGTGGAAAAAGATGTCCTAAACAAGATATAAAACCATAAAGGAAAATTTTACATATTTAATTACATAAAAATAAAACAAATGAAAACTTCTGTATAAAAAAAGATATTAGATAAATTCAGAGAAAAGTAATGTTTCAGGAAAAATACTTGCAAGAGAGCATCAAAAGACTCATATTTATTAGAAGGCTCTTTCAAATTAATAAAAAGAATCTCAGATTATTAAATAGAAAGTGAATAATTCTGAAAAGAAATGAAAATGACCAATAAAAAAAATAAAAAGATGCTCAACTTTACTAGTAATCAAGAGCTTTTAAATTTCTACAAGTGAAATAACATTCTTCATTTCTCATATTGGCAAAAATTAAAAAGATAGACAACTCTTATGTTGGTGCAAACATGGCCACTCATGTACTACAGCTCTAATGGCACAGCCTTCTTAATGTGGGCTGCTCCTTTTCTTGGTTAGTGTGTATGCCTTGACCCAGTGGCTCCATTTCTAGTGGATTATAATAGGAATACAATTACATATCTGCATGCTCACTAAAGCTTAGTAGTGGTGAAGAACCATTTTCCAGTGGAAGCAAAACATCAATTCTGCACATCCACGCTGTAGAATAGCCTCCATAGGAAATAAAAAGTATGAGGATGAACTACACATCCAGACAGGAGGGACACTACTGTTCTACTTTACGAAAAAGAAAAACATACACGTGTGTGTGTATGTATATACCTACACATACATGTCTGAAAATGTCCAGCAAACTTTTCTGGAAGGACTCTTGTCAAATGGTTAACAATGATTATTTATGAGCAGATATGTGGGATTGTTGAGAAGTCAAGATTTAAGAGACTTCACTACACAAAACTAATTAGTGTAGTAAGAGCCCAGTCTGTGGAGCAAGAATCCCACTGGTGGACCTCAAGTAAATTCCTTAATCTCTTACTGCCATTGTTTTCTTCAGGAAGAATAATAGTATACAACAAGTAGTGTGCTGCCTGGCATAGAAGACACATTCTGTTAGTGTTTGCTATTAAGTTAAAAATAAAAAATATTACCTTTTTTTTTTCAGTGCTAGGGATCAAACCCAGGACCTTACACATGCTAGACAAGTGGTCTTACCATGAGGTATACTCCAACCCATGGTATTATTTTTATGACCTTAAAAACAATAAAAAAAAAAAGAGAGCAAAATCATCCAAGGCTCTCCCAACTAGAAGACCTCATGGTTGATATTTATGACTACCATACTAGATCTCCACATGCATGTATGTGCATATGCACATGCTTGTGTTAACTTCACATGGATGACACCACAAGGGTCATAAGGACAGAACATCTAATGGACTTCCTTTCATCTCTGTAAATGTTCATATCATTTTATAAAGTCTTTAGTACTCCATTTTCCCATAATTGATGTGAACAGTTGGTAGATAGTTATGTTATTTCTAATTATTCCTTCTTATAAGCAGCCTTGGCTCCTGCTCAATAATTTTTAAGACAATTCTCAGAAGGATTTCTGTACACTTTTTCTTTTTTGGTGGCACTGGTATTTGAATTCAGGGCCTTGTGCTTATATGGCAGGCACTCTACCACTTTAGCCAAAGTTCCAGCCCTTTTTGTTGTAGGCATTTTTCAAGTAGGGTCTCACATTTATGCTGGGGCCAGCCTGTACTGAGATTCCCCTAGTTATGCTTCCTGCTTAGCTGAGATCATAGGCATGTATCATTGCTGTGAACTCTTTGCCCAGGCTGGCCTTGAACCTTGATCCTCCCGATCTCTGCTTCCTGAATAGCTAGGATTGCTGATGTGAACCACTGCACCCAGACAATTTTCTGTACATTTTTATATTCATGATATACATTGTCAAACATTCTTCAGAACTATGTCAATGTACACTTCCCACAGTGTGCATGAGCCCTCACATTTTGCTAAAGTCTCTCAAAATAGTATTTTCATTTGTTTTCATCTCTGTTCATTTGGTAATTGAAAAATTATACACTTGCATTCTTATGATTACTAGTAAGATTGAACTTCTTTTCCTTGATTTCCTTTTCCTGTAATTCTGACTTTGCATTATCAGAGCTTAAGTCTCAATCAAATACATTTATTTGAGACAGACCATCAGGCAGTCAGCAGGCCCTGTGCAAAGATTAGATGGACACAAATAGGGAGACTTATTGAATGAGGCCTAGAAGTGAAGACCTGAAACATGGGGGCTAGAGGCAAACCAGACACTTCCCTTGGAGACTTACCAATTTTCAGCTGACTTTTTTTAATGGAGAAGTCTGTTTGGGGGAACATCATTTAAATTATGGTAGATCCATGTTTGTATGATACCAAGAGTGAGGTTTCCCTACAGGTTGTATTAACATAAGGGTTTTCAAAGACAAGATCAGTGGATGAGACCAAATGTTTTGGTTGAGAGGATGCTCAACTTTTCTCCTATTCAGATCGTGTTCATACATACACACAAACACGCACACTTTGCTCAAAAATACACAATATAAGAGCCCAATACTTCAATATTTTGGGCATGTAATAAATTGTGTGTACTTTATTCTGTTAAAAAAAAGTACACAAGATATGCTGTCACCTTGTTACTGAAGACCTTCTGCTATTCCATGACTTTACCCCATCTACCCAAAGTTGTGATGTGGCCCAGTACATGAGGCAGCTTGGATCGATTGTTCTCTTCATTGTTTCACAAATGAAATGCCCTGTGCCAGATATTCTAGGCAGCTTTCTCTTCTGCTATCCCATGCTTCAATCTTCTGATTACACAAACACAACTCCAGCTGGCAGTTGTGTGTGACAGCATGCCTCCTCTTTGAAGTGTCCTTTATTAACTGCAAACAGCATAAACAAGCTATCCTCTCTGCCTCCCAGGACTTCAATTATTTGTACTGTGTTAGGCACACACCAAACAGTAGTTCCATCTACACATAGACAAGGGCACTAACCTACTGGAGCATAGTCTCCAGAAAAGCAAAGTTACCTGTCTCTAAATTCAAGACAATGCCAGAACTAGACAGTACTAATAGAATACCAAAATCTAATGAGACCCAAATCTCTAGTCCCTTTTGCAACTATTGTGGGAATCTAGATGATTCCCAAGCTTGCAACCTGGAACTTAGTTTTATATTTTTAATGACTACAGCTAGAAATTTATTTTACTTTCTTCTTGAGTGGCATAAAGAAACAAGGAGGAACGAAGATTTAAATTAGAGTTTTCCAACCTTGACAGTCCATTAGAATTACCTAGAAAGATTGTAAAAATATGGAGGCCTGGATATTTAACTCACAAAGAGGGCATCCTGGCCATGGAAGCTACCAGGCTATTTGTGCCCTAGGGATGAGGAGCCCTTACCCTTTAGCTATATAGACCTGTGTGATTCAAGGATAGTTGGATTTGCCTGGTCCAAAAGCAGGCAAACATAACCTTGCACACATGGGTCCTATTCTGCTTATGCAAAAGGGAGCATGGCCTCTTTCCCTTAGGATTAACTCAGACAACACCAGATGAAGGGGCAAAGTAGGCTCTCCAAAATCACCTTTCTAGCATGGTCACTCTGTGCTTTAGTTTTCCTAATTTTATGGTGGGGGTCTATATACAGTACAGTATAACAGTGCATCTCAAACTCTAACGTGTATGGGAATTTTGTCAAAATGCCAATTCTAATCATCAGGTCTGGGATGGGGTCCAAGATCCTACATTTCCAACA